CCATGGTGGGGATATTTTAGATATTTGATCTTATTTGTTTATTGTTTTTTGTAAGTGAATGCTATTTCATCAAAAAACATTGGAGGAAGGTTATTTTACCAATAACATTGTTTGACTACACTTTTTTTTTTTTTTAATCAAATCCCCCAATAAAAATTGGCTTACCACAAACTAGCTTCATTTTTATTAATTGGATTTGGTGCAAATGAATTAATTGTATTCTGTAGTTTCTTTCGTTTAGACCGAGGGATAAGTAATTCGACTCATTCACATCCAAATCATGAATGTTTGGAATCCATATTATGCAAGGAAGCTCACTTCGCAGCCTTCTCTCCTTAGCTATAGGAAGAATTAGCCTCTTTCTTAGGGTCAGTCTTGAATTCATTTTATTTTACCCTAGACTTGCTAGGTAAATCCATTTGATTATTCAAGAATCAGGTTTATATAGAGGTCTGTTTGTGACTATATAAGTTACTGATGTTCCATTCATAAAAGAAGAAAGTGGCGCCTATGAATCTTTTTCTAAATGAGGAATGATATTCATACTGAAAACTATTGATAATCGCCCTACGTGGAATACACCATATGCATCAAATAACAAACTGCCATGCGTATGTCAAGTATGACGACTATCGATAATTTTCATTATGTATAATATTATTCTTTTGAGAGTGATAAATTCTAAGAAATAATCATGCTCACCATTTAATATTTTAAATACCGAATTAAAGAGCCCCAACGACCTGGTCTCCAACGATATCAAATCAAAACCTAACTGCCTGCTTTTTCTCAATGTTTCCGTGAAATTACCAAATTCTGCAGCCACCATTATAAATATTTCTGTGTACTTGCTTGATCTCAAGAAAAAGTTCGTTTGGCTGCAGAAATCGCATTTAGTCTTCCCTCGAGCTTTTGGTGTAAAATCTGTCCGCAATATTAATGCATTTGTCTCACTTTCTCTCTGATGATCCTGCTCAGTTTGCAACTATACAGGTACGGCATCCATCTTAAATTTCTTCCGACGCTTCAGAAAAGTTATGGTTGATCATCTCTTGATAAAATTAATTGATTTCCAAACATTTAGCTAACAGTAGTCAGTGCGGTAACCATCAAAGGCTGCATTCGGTTGATAATGTACGTGCATGTTTTAGATATTCAAGTGTTGGGCTGATATTAGTGATTACATTTGCCTCTCCAAGACGGCACTCCTGCTGTCGATATCGATCTTGTATCAAAGACAAATTAATGTTGTGCTAGGCATTTAGGTAAGAGTGTCTGACTTGTTGGCCTTCAGATTAAATGTAAGATGGATGAACCAAAACTGCCTTAGGGAACGTGATCATGGTTGAAGTAGTACTTGACTGAGATGTGCTTCATCTGGAAGCAAAAAGCTCGTAGTTGTGCCACCAATGTTGTAACAGTGATTGGTAGGCCGTAAATTGATTTACATTAGAGTATTTCGTTGCTTGACAATCCCACTTTATAAGAATGATTAAACTTTTTTCTAATTTTTAGAAGTTATACATAGTAACAGACTTCACAAATTTGGTAAAATTTTACGTCCGATCAAAATCGTGTGACGATGATTGCAGAGAACAAGAACAATTGGGAAGAAGAGAAAGTAGAAAGGGAGAAATGGAAGGAATATTGTATTTAAGTATGTTTTATTATGATCAAGGAGTCTCTTAACATTGGTTTTAAATCACAACTAGAAAATACTACTCTAATTGATTTTAATTTCTTTTACGCCTAAAATATACTTTCCAAGTTGCATCGTGCCTAAAATATTGAGTACAATTATTTTGATGCAATTAGACTGCGGCACCCTTTTCTCATTGTAGATAAACACACTTCATTACTGGTTGAAATGAATGTTTGTGGTTTCATAATTTAACCTGGAAATACAATAAACATAGGCATTAGCTATGAGAAAACATTTCTCAAGTAAAAAGGGATAACCGGATGGAAAAAGGAAAATAGAGGAGAAAATAATTTCTGACTCCAGTATTTTGGATGAGCATAGAGGAAAGGAACAAAAGGTGGGAATGCTGGAATAAGTTCATATTTTGTTTCCATTCTTTCTCAGTGCAAAAGCTTTTTTTTCTTTTACCTGAAACAGTGCATAAATAAATATTTTACCATTCATTTCGATTCTTTTAGTTTGCGATAACTAACTGTTCATGAATTTCTATGTCTTTACATCACAAAACTCATGAATTTCTATGTCTGTACATCAAGAAACCACATCATGGATGCTATTCATGACATATTCCACCTCAAATAACTCCAGTGGACCAAAATATTACACGACTGCAATGGACGCTAGATAGTTAATTATAGACTATGAGGATTTCAATGTGATGTGATTCTATATATCTAACATGATATCCAGCCACCAACATCCACCATCGACACTTCATGTTTCGTGCCCACTGGAATAAATCAGAATTGGTCGTATCAGATGAGTCTACTAAGACAATCAAGTCGTGCTAATGAATTTCTATTGCATTTACAAGTAATATTGAGGACTAAGATAATATATATCACATCAATAAAAAGGCAATTACTTTCATTTAGTTGAATTTGCTTGAGATTTCGGCTCAAGTCTTGCTCCATGAGTGCTAATCCTAGGGTACAAATATTTGAAAGCTGATTATTGGTTAAGCTATCTATGGTTTTCAGCTAAATCGCTGTTGTTTCTTTGTGTTTATGCAAACTTTTGAGTTTGGTAAGCATATTTTTGAAGTTAGAGCATTTTCAAAAGGCTCTTTAAACATGAGATGCTTTCTATTTTAAAGAGTCAACCCTTAAAATTACACTCTAATAGATTCTTTAAATTAAAATTTGCATTCAAAGTATTTCAATTTTAAATGTAAGAAATAATATAATAATCTAAAGAAAAGTAAGTTAAAATAAAAATTAGAGAAAAATAAAAATATTTTTTGGGAGTAATAAAATTAAGTATTAAGAATAAAGAGCATGTTGGAGTGCTTCGTAATTTTTACTCTCTAAATTCATTGATACTCTCTAAGAATATCTTCAAAAGACTCTCTATTTATAAAGAGCATCTTATGCATAATATAGAGTATCTTTAAATTTAGAGTAATTTTTTTATATACTCCAAAATGCTCTCTACTTTGATTCTTTATTTTTTTCCAACGAACATTTAATAATTTCTCCATATATTTTATTTTAGTATAATTTTTTTATATATATTAATGACTAATCAATACAAATATAATTTTAAATTGTAGAGTATTGAAATTTGTAATGTATTAAATGCAATGATTGTACATTAAATCCTTGTTTGAGTCACATTATTTTCATAAGAATGCATTTTTGAATAGTGTATTGATGAAAAATGTATGATTAAAAAATAAGGAAAATTTTTAGATTTGTGTGTGATATTATGTTATTAAAGAATGTGGTTGAAATTATGTCAACTTACTATTTAAGAATGTATTTTTTTTAAAAGAATGTGGGTCAAACAGGGTCTAAGCATTTTATCTTAAAAATGTTTTAAATGATAAAATGTGCTCTTTAAACATAAAGAATAACTTTCATTTACTAGGCAGCATTGGCTTCTTTATACCTCACTACCATTTTCCATGGAAAAGAATGGCATATCAAACAGGGCCTTAATGTTTACAACTCATTTTCCATTTGCATTAAGTTTAGGTTGGCAGCGTGACCTCACATAATTCAAGAACATAATTATTGCATAGTACAAGTTGTATATCCCTCACTACCATTGAATTCAATGTGACTAACATATTGGCTTCTTTATACCTCGCTGATACTCTTTCTGGACGATATATGGCAATGGCATAAGCCTGGAAAACAATTTTCAGAGTTTTGGCATCAATTCTTAGTGGAAACTCCATGGGAGACCTCGGCTATTTCTGTTTTTGGCTGTAGCCTGTAGCCAAATATCTTCAGAAATGATAATAAAATTCTATATATATCATGGCTTAGGAAGATCATTTGGTCTTTAGTTTTAATAATTAGATGCTTCAATGGATGATTTTTCGGGAATCATTCATCAGTGCTGTTTGTTTTAATATTTTTTACTCCTAAAGTTCAACTTATCCAATTTGACCCTGATTAACTCAACAAAGATTATGCCCTTTGTTTGGCCTCCATTATAATAAGAAATTTGGGTAGATAATTTTTGGGAGAATGTGTGGCTAAAAAAGAAGGAAAAGTTTTTTATTTTCATATAATATTACTCCTTTCGTCCCAAGTATATAGGCCAGTTTCCTTTTTCTCTTGTCGCAAATATAAGGCATGTTTCTTAATATAAAATATTTTGTTTTGTTCCTTTACCAATATACCATTATTCAATTTTCCTCACTTCATATGCCAACTTCTTGAAATCATCCAAATACACATATTTCTCACTTCTTAGAAACATGGAACAACTCTCATTTTCTCTTCTTCAAATTAAATCATTCAAATTCTTTACTAATTCCAACAATAATTTACTTCTACATATTGAAAATTAAATAGAAGTAAACTAGGAAAGATCTTAGCAAAAATTAATTTTCCAATGACATTAAAGAATATTTATTAATCCGTGTGAAAAATGAAACAAATTTATATAATTGGGACGCAGTGAGTATTTTATTGGAAAATGTGTGGTTGAAAAGAAGAGGGAAAATTGCATTAAAATTTTACTGGAGGCCAAACAAAAGATATGATATTGGAGTCGAATAAATTTGAAGAAGTTGAGGTTTAATTTAAGGCATTTCCTCCAATTTTATCTGCTTCGCAGGAGGCTAACAACTTGAACTGCTTCATATATCATGGTGAACAAATCTAAATAAAACATTCTTCAGAAAGTAATTTTATTGTCGTCCATTTCCTCTTTTCTACAATCAGTTTCGCTTCAGCTTTCTGCAATAAAAGCAGTATGTAAACTGTTTTAAACGTCGAAACAGTTGAAGTTGGGAAGGAACATTTTAGTCGAGTAATATCAAATCCAGAAAACTAGAGATAAATGTTACTAAAGCAAGAATTCACTTTTAAAGGAAAACATTGTTAGATAAAATCCAGATTGAAGTTCCAGTCTGCTAACTAAGCCTCTTCCAAAAGAAACAACTACTAAAAGAAAAAAAGTACCCTGACGTTGATGCAAAACAAAGATACAAATGAGTTTAATACACTTAAAGCTCTTTGTCTAGTCAATACCCGAACCTATATTAACCTTGCTGCGTGGTGAAACTCAAGATGCTTTCTTCATCCAAGATAATTTACACTACACAGCAAGGATCATACAAGGTGCGTTCTTGACTTCTTTCCCTTTCTCTCACATCCTATGGTAAACATATCCGTCCTTCCCCTTTGTTCTTCATTTCAAGTCTAATCTGCAATGAAAGAAGTAATCAGAATGAACACAAAGAAGATGTCAAAATGAAGGAATTGTATTTAAATAAGCATACTTAAATAAGCATATGTTCTGACAGTGTCAAGATTTAGTTGAAAAAATGTGAAGACACCTCGTTTGTGGTTGATCAAATATTTACCAGAAGGTCGTAGTAACCCTGACCAGAAGTATATTTCAGAATGTAAAATTTTCAAATTTGTCTGTCCTACTCTTTTTTGTGATATCAAAAGTCGGTTTGTTTAGGAGTGTAGCATATATAAACTTCAAAATTCTGTACATTGGCATCTAAAAAAGTATTTCCAGCTGTCAGGCACTCGGGAAAGTTTTCAGAACATGTCATAAGGGAGAACATATTATTTGTCTAAGCTGAGAATTAGTTTAGAAGGAAAAGCTAACCAAAAAGCAGACGTTTAGGTCATGCACAGTCGCACAGCACAGAACCCTTGATCCTTTCAACGGTGCACTTGATGAGGCTATTAACAGTTGCCACTGAACCCAAAGAAAGTTTTGCAGTTGGAACCGAGTCTACCAGTATCTGAAAGGCAACGGTGAGTAATGATCCACCGGACCCAACCTCAGCATTAATCCCTCCGGCCAGATTTGTAGGTCCATCAGGAAGTATAGCGAAACCAGATGGTAAGAGAGCAACATAGTCCGGATCACCGCCACTTAAGACCACATTCATGGCAACAATATCAACTGGAGCATAGATAACATAGGAGCCTGTTGAATCAGTACAACTCTCTTGTAGTATCAGCATATTGCTTTGGCTTGAGTTTGCACTCTGCACGTTTCAGTTTCAAAAGTTTACGAAGAAAAGTCCAGTCATTTGGGGGGGAAATTTCTGATATGAATGTATCAGATTAAACTTCTGGAAAGATTTATGAACATCTTACATTGACACGCAGTAACGAGACAGAATTGCCCGGATCACGGCCATTTGCAATATGTGCCATTTCTTGAACAAGGCCTCCATTTGAAAGAATATCCCACTGTAATTGTTATACAGTATTAAATGTGAGTAATATCTTGAAGGTAAAATCATTTCTCAAGAATCACTGTAACTTCTGGAATAAGCTGCCGAAATCGTAAACAGTAAATATACATTTTGTCATATATTCGAATAAGAATCCATTATTTTCAGTGTTTCACTTGATCGCTGGAGCTGATGAAGTTGATCAAATATTGACTTTAGACATTTAATTTTTCAGGATTCAAACGATGTTTCATACCTCATTTCTTGAATTCTCATCACGAAGAAAGTCGAAAACTCTTTTTGGTGGAACTGGGAGCCAAAATGAAGTAGCAGCACTTAGAACAATACCAGGAGGCCTGCCTGGATCATCCACGCTCTTTCTGGTCATAACCCTAACATCATCAGCTCCACTTCCTGACATTGTTGTCCATGTGTGTGCAGTTGAAGCACCGACACCAGTGCAGAAGCTCATTACCATTCTTTCTGCCAGCTTCAACATACTCTTTCTACCTTCTGGAGAAGATATCACTGCACCATAAAATATACAATTTAGCACAGGCCAAAGATATCATGTCATCTAACATTTTAGTTAAAGTAAAAATTGAAATCTGTCAGTACCCCCAACATCTCCTGCTGAAATGTTATTGGCCATTACACTTGCAAGACGTTCACATTGTCTATCCAATGTGGCTACCCAGCGTCTTGCCCCAAAAGCGAGACCGGAATTGACCAGTGGTTTGTAGATGCTGTGAACAGATCTATCATCCACCTCAACATGTTCCACCCATATAACCTGAGGATAAATGTGAGCATATTCTAAAGTAGCAATATATAGGCCTATATTTATTAAATTGACATTCTAACTTGAGAATTTGTTATACCTTTGAGTAACCATTTGGTAATTCTTGGATCAAACAACCAGATGGCCTTCGTCTACACCGAGATATAGAGGTAGCTCTTAGATTGTCCAAAGAAACATCTACCACAGCCCAAGTCCCATCACCATTTTGTTTGCAGTATCTCGCAAAATAGTTTTCGCGAGTTGGAACCAATGGGGAAGGGACCTGGAACTCAGCAGTCATCTACAAAGATACAGTATTAGGATTAACAATTATAATAGTTTCTGAGAAAATTTCGATACTTAAACAGTGAAGAACAGCAATCTTCAAGATAATATATTTTTATGCATACCACTTGTAAAGCTCCATTATAGTTGCCTGCTACTCCAGTTGATAAAACTTCAACAGTCATTGCTCTTGACACAATGCTGGAGAACACGCTTGTCCATTGATTCTGTAATCACAATGAAACCAAAATTTCTGATTAACATGGAATAAAAAAATTATTTGCTAACGTCCAAATATGCATACAAGATACCCTACCGCGTCCATCAGAATCTCAACCAAGCTGATGTGATTCATTATCACAACAGCAGACTCTCGAGATGCCTCAGATTTCAATCCCAAGGGCTTTGGCCCAATCCCACGAGGGAATGTCCGGATATATTCCTCTTCACTCAAAGTCTCAGCAGAATTGTCCGTGCTAGGTATCCATAAAGGCTCTCCGGATTGGGCCATTCGGATCAATTCCTCCATTGCAGCAACAGCCAACTCAATGATCATGGGCTTGTTGGCATCAGTTGGCCCAGAGACTGACCTAAGAAGGTCAGATGCACCATATATCTCACCAGGCATGCCTGTCTGAGGCCCAAAATTCCCCGATCCAAGATCAAGTGAACGAGATGATCCAGGAGAAATATGTGCATAAGAAAGCATAGGTTTCCCAACATACTTTGCTGCAATTCCGGATATCCTATCAATCTGGAAAGAGGATACCCATGTACATAAGTTTAAAACTGCATATGAAAACACCTAATGGCTCATTTATTTCTTAATCATTGATTAAAGACATAATAAACTGAATATCAATTTATACATCCATAATCTTATTAAAGCAAGAAACTTTAAAACCTATAAAAACCCACTTTTCCTAATTCAAATATATCTAGTCTTCTCTTATTACCTCTTCCCTTAAGCGAGCATTCTCTATCCTCAAATGCTGCTCATCAAATGACATCTCGCCAATGGCAGCTGGTCCTCCGCAGTTGGGACAAGCAGCATTGCTAAGAGCTTCTTTATACCTTATGTTTTCTGCACGAAGCTTCTCGTTTTCATTCCTCAGTTGCGTGTTCTCGTGCCGCTCATGTTGAGACTGAAAGTATTAAATCTGTCTCGGTTATACTTCGCATTTATACACACACACACATTATTATAATAATAGATTGATAAACATTAGTGAAAAAAATTTAAGCCTGAGAATAGATAAACAATTTACCTTCATCTGAGTGCGCTTGTTTTGAAACCAAAATTTAACTTGTAAAGGCTCCAACCCCAATTGACGTCCAAGCTCTTTCCTTTGTTTATCATCCGGGTGAGGGCATTCCTTAAAAAACCTGTAAATTTAAAATTTTCGTGAAAATAAATGGAATGAATTCATTAATTATATCTAAGAGTCTCTCCAAATTATTTAATTTTCCCAGGAACTAGACTTACGCTTCCATTTCTGTGATTTGATGCTGGGTGTGGCGATGATAACGCTTCTTTTTGGGGCGTTGATTTGGATCTCCATCATCTCCAGAGGGGGCTTCCATGATATCAGTCACTGATTTGCTCTCGAATTCGTCATCCCTAATAAGGTCCATCTCATTTTCGGGTGATTTATGACTCATATCCAGCAAGGAATGGTGGCTATCAAACATGTTTGGTTGAAACATCATGATGCTCTTATTACAAACTTAAAAAGTTGCAATCAGCTGCAGAAAGAATAAAAAAAGAATTAAGCGAAGCAAGAATATTAAATAAAAATTTATATAATAATCTAGACATAACAAACAATGGACACCAGGGAACTACACATCAAGAGGAAAAAAAATACCATGTGGAAATTTGAATGCGATTACAGAATAAAGAATGTTATTAAAAGGCTCAGATCCTGTGACCTTTGAGATAGTGTGTGTAATGTGTGAAAAAGTGCTTTAGCGTTTATATCGAAAATGATTTCACGGGAATTACTTTTATGACCTAGTTCATGGTCTAATGAGATCTGAAATGGTTTGACTCTTGACAAGGAAATTATTTTTTGTCGGAACCTAATACTGTTCATCAGAATTCTGATATCAATCTAGAATTCTTAAATACACTATAATTTTTTAGGTTGGAAAAATTTAAAGTTTTTATCGACTGACCTTTTTGTAAACTTCCAGACTAGACTCAAAAAATTCATGCCGTGAGACCTCCTCGTATGACCTTGAAGCTGCACATCATCTTCACCAAGAAACCCTAGAAACTTCTCTGTCTCTCTATATTTCTCCCTCTAAAACTGGGTTTAGCTTTTCGGTTTTGGTTTTGGTTTTGGATTTTAGAAAGTATATACTGCGTTGAGATTAACAGATTCTTTGGCAGTGTCTGACCAAAAAATATGGGATGGTTACATGTAACAACAGACAGACTGAAAGTTAATTTTGGTTAGTGGCTTTTCAAACAGGACTTTTTTTTCGTCTGTCCTTACATGCCCATTAAAGAACTAAAATGAGCATTACCGAGTTGACAGAGTGCGAAGCCTTTGACAATGGCAATATTTCAATCTGGCATTTCTATTTAACGCCGACGAATATTTCGGTTGAGTTTTACTCGTCTCTATTCTCTCTCTGCCAAAAAAATAATAATAAAGGATAAAACAATATTAGATTACGAAATTAATCGCAGAAATTAAACTTAATTACTTCGGCAAGGTGAAAATCATGGTTTTATAGGACTGAAGTCGGAATAAACAAACAGTACAACATATATACATTTGTAAGTGTGTGTGTTTGACTTACTGTTCTTGCAAGTTGATAGAAACCCTAGAAAACCATATCCAGGTTTTAGGGTTAGAGACAAGCAAAGTAGGTCAGATCTGGTTTTAAGGTCAAAGGGTTGATTAAAAAGCAGAATTTGATTAGCACTGTGAAAAGTGGTTTTGAGGTTTATTGCAAAGAATGCTTTTCTTGTGAAACGAATTTAAGAATAGTTAGGACATGGAAGTGAAAGGGATTGAAAGAAAAAAGAGCGGATAAAAGTTGAGAGCGAGAGCGAGAGGGTGAGGAAGAAGGAAGATGGAAGATGGAAGATGGAAGACGGAAGAGTTAGTGAAGATGTGGAAGTGGAGGAGTTATTGCAGAGCGTATTGAGAGGACTCGATAGCATTTATGGGTGTTTATTGATGATAAGAGAGAAGGCTATGGGGTTGGTATATGATGTTTAAATTTCCTCTATGTATACGTATATTTGTGGGTGTAGAATGGTGGGTGGGGTCTCTACTCTTTATTACATCCTCAACAGCTCATTTCACACTGTAATAAACTCCTTTTCTATCTTTGACACTCGAATATACACACACTAACGACCAATTGTTCAAATCGTGACACTTCGAATGGAAGAGGGAAACAGAATGAGTGGAGACACATCGATGTCTGAGATATCGTGATTTAGCCCCCATTTGAATTACATTATTATAAAAATGAGAATGAAAAATATAGTTATTATGGACCCTACACAAGAGATAAAAAGTCAAATATGGTGACTTGATGTGATGGATAACGGTCATATTTTTTTATTTTAATAAGGAAATAATGGGGCTCAAACAGGGCCTTAAGTGATCTAGGAATCGTGCAGTCATTTGAATTGACATTCTTATCACGTGTTTATATAAAATAATCCTCGTGGGAGTGGGAAAAAGAGAGTGTAAACAATGTTCTTCGTAATACTTCAATTTCTACAATCACTTGGGTTTTTCCCCCCATAAAATTTGAATATTCTATCGTTTTGTATTAGAATTAATCATAGATAGAGTTGATAGATTTTTCTTGCAAAAACATAATTTCAGTTTATGAATGATTTCTTAGTGACATTGTTTTTTCGTTTGGCTTATTAGACAATTAAGATCAAGGACATTGTAAAATTTAGTTTTCAATTAAAATGTTCAACTTGTAAATATTAAACTACAGTGGATATGAGTATTAATGAAATATCAATATGTATGGATTTTCTCCTTATTTTGCTTTCCAACGTTATCCATTTGTATTAATTGCATCAAATTCCCTAATTAAATTAATATTTCACAATCGTCTTTGCTTACAAGCATTCATTGTCTATATAAGAAATACGCATATACTATAGGAAATATTACGAATAGGATTCTACTTTGTTCATTGTTAAAATCTAATGTTGATTATGTGAACTTCCTTTTGACTTTTGAAATCCATACACATGAAATGAGTGTCACATCTTTTCCAAAAAACTTGGAAATTATAGAAGGTAAGTTTTGATAGCAACACACACATTACACCCGATTATAAGTAAGGCCTTTAGGTTTTCGAGAATATTAACGTAATCGAGATCGGAACATCTTATCATGGCCTTACTCTATGTCATTGGTTTTTCCTACACTTGGTCGTTAGGGCTCCGAAGAGTAAACTTGATCGACGTGCATTATCTCGGAAACTTGAGAAAATGTTACTATAACTTTATTACAATTGCTCGGATATGGGCCGTCAAAACTTAAATTTTCAATGCAAGATTAAGTGCTAACTTGATTGTCATTTGTACTTATCTTAATCGACACGTTAAATGATGTTTCTATATTTATAATTTAATGTAATTATGTCCACATAAAATACTTGTCATGTTTTTATTGCTTGCTGTGTATTCAAGTTAAATAATTCATGATTTGCATAAACTTTCATGTTCCAATATTAATTCACATGTTACAATTTTTCTGAAACAATACATAGTGTATACAATCTTAATTCTTCATTTTTTTTTGGTACGTGTGCATTATTAAATATGTCAGAGAATATGACAGTAACCTAAGTTTTGGCCCCCATTAATTTTAATTTTAATTATATTTTATTTTTCTCTCTTCTATTTTCAATCACATAATCTTCTATAAAATAATATTACACATAAACCAAAAACTTTTCATTCTTTTTCAACCATTTATTTAAAAAAAAATACTATTCTACCGTTTTTATTTTTCCAAAATGGAGGCCAAATGGGGGCTAAATTTATTTAACAGTCTAATTAAATTATAATATAGTTCTGTCGTACAATTTATTTGTTTAAAGAGCGTAAGGCCTATTTAACAGTTTAATTCTTTATTTATCAGCAGTCGAATTTTCCTGTACTAATTCATTTATGTCACTATAAGCAATACTTTGATTATTTAACTTCCTTTTTAAATATATATATGCAATAAATTCACTTATAGTTCAATGTGACAAAAACTATGCTGGTTTAATTAACGCCAACTTGAAATTAAGATAATCTAATTTTATATCTAATATATTAAATATCACATTAAGTAAGAGTTATTTTATGGACAATTCTAGCTCTGCCACAATTCAATTATTTCAATAAAACATTACTTTTTGTTTTCCAATACGTATTTAATATATCTAACCATTTGAAGTTATTAATTCTCAATTAATTAATATTTACATTAATTTAATTCATGTTCATCTTCATTTAAGCATTTTAGTGTCATTAGTTCTAATTATAAGTTAATTAGAATTTCACATTCAAGAATATATTTTATTATTCATGTCTACTTATCTTAATTAGCATCGTGTTTCACTAAATTTAAAATTAAATTATATTCAGTTTGTATAAATGATTTAACATTTATTGTCACGTATATATTCTTTGGTACTAATTCTAAATTAACATCCACGTTGATTAATATGTCGTATTTGCTTTAACCATTTGAACAATATTTCGTGTATCATTTTGCTAACTATTTAGTTATTATTAATGTACTTTTGACATATCATTCATTTCACTTACATGATTTCACCCCATGAAATCCAATTACAAAATGTAATAAATACTGCAAAATCCTTATTCATGCATATATCCCCTATTATTTATTAGTTCTAATTATAAGTTAATTAGAATTTCACATTCAAGAATATATTTTATTATTCATGTCTACTTATCTTAATTAGCATCGTGTTTCACTAAATTTAAAATTAAATTATATTCAGTTTGTATAAATGATTTAACATTTATTGTCACGTATATATTCTTTGGTACTAATTCTAAATTAACATCCACGTTGATTAATATGTCGTATTTGCTTTAACCATTTGAACAATATTTCGTGTATCATTTTGCTAACTATTTAGTTATTATTAATCTACTTTTGACATATCATTCATTTCACTTACATGATTTCACCCCATGAAATCCAATTACAAAATGTAATAAATACTGCAAAATCCTTATTCATGCATATATCCCCTATTATTTATTTTAATTAATTAAAATTTATTTTCATTTAATTAATATTCATTTTCAAATATTACTTTTATAGCACTTATAAAATATTTCATAATAGCGTGCAACGCATATTCAACACTAACTAGTTTATTAAATGTCATATTCAATTAATTAATTAAGTTCAAGAAACTAATATTACCAGTTGTGTATTGTACGCTTGTAGTTAGATGTCTATTGTACCCAACCAGAAAAGAATTAACTGATCATAAACCTGATAGTATATATATCTTCATTGTGTCTGAACATATTTCTTACTATAAATAGGAGAAAAAAAAATTATAGGAGAGTTCTTTGTTAAGAAAATTATAAGATCACAAGTCAAGTGTTTTTTTTTTTTTAATTATTATTATTATATGCTTAATTTATGTTAGAAATTTTCGAAATCTAGATGAGACCTACACGAGGCATGTACAGTCATTTGTAACCCTTCAATTGAAAATTACGAAAAAGAAAAAAAATATATGAAAACAGTTAACATACATTATATGTGTAGGTCAGTCATGCAGACTAAATCCACTAGACTTTGATTACTCGGTTCTCGTATTGTTTCGTAGTACGCACTTGCAAGTATTTTGATGCTTTAGTGGTGTACTTCTACAGGTTTATATACACGGAGGTTTTATCCTTTGCCGTAGGTTCGACTTTCACTATTGATTTAATTATTTTACATGAAATTCGTTTGAAAATATAATCGTGCCACATAAATTAGTGCTAGAGGTGCTATATAAATTATTCTTTAAATGGATAAGTTACCTGTGGTTAAAAAGGTGTTTATAATAAATCATTAAAAATAATCCAACATTTTTGATATATTGTTCTCTTTATTACAATTTACATCCCTTCTCGAATTATTATTATTATTATTATTATTATTATTATTATTATTATTATTATTATTATAAAACAACTTTCATTCCATCAAATCATGTGTACATGTACATAGGATGAAATGAGAATTCAAATACAATCAACATACGACATTGCTAGATAGTAATTTTCTATCTATTACGTATTAAATAGAAAACTAAAAGAAAACTAAACTAAACCCTTACTTAATTAACTAACCTTCTACTATTTAAATTGTGAAAGACACAATTTAAATTGTGATTAAAAGAATATAAATAAATAGTTTTCAAGAATGCATAGGGCATGGAAACATTAGGTATTGAATATTCCACCATCATTATCATCCCGACTCCACAAGTACTTTTTGGACTTTTTAAGTTTAATTATTTGGTTGAGAGTGTGTTTCGTGTAGGGATCCGTGTGGCTTTGTTTTGGTGATTGTCTGATTTTCTTTATATTAGAACACATATTCATATGGAAAAATTTATTTTCTTAGTACTAATACTGCATCAAATATGTAATTATCAATTCTTTCCAGAGTTCACAATTGTCAGGAGCAAATATATTAAAGAAAATATTTTCGGTGTGCGATTTGTTGTCAATAAAAATTTTTCAAGGATTGGTAACAATCTCATGTCTATGTCAAACAAATTTCGGAAATTTTCAGGTATAACCCAATATAGAAAGATAATTCCAAAATCACTAGTACAATTTTTTTTTTTATTTCTAAACTAAAATACTATATCTTGTAACATAAAATTTCAACCTTTAGGAAACCGATTGCAATGAAGATACATATTTATCTCCAAGTCATTAAATAGCTCCTAAAATGTAGGGACTTATTATATAGAAACAATTGGTTTATTAAATAACATCGGTGTGCATGTGGAGGTATAATTCTAAAATCATTTTTTATTATTTTGAAATTTCCATTTCCAATCACTTCATATTACTAAATAATAAAAATTCACGTTTGGCAATTCATAGTCGTCGTCGTCTTCTTCTTCTTCTTGTTGTTGTTGTT